AAGAGCAAATTGTTAGCAGATCGATTATACTTAGAGCCTCTAGAGGTATTTGAGTGAGTTATAAGTAAAAATTCAATGTGTTAGTATAATTTAAAGAGCTTTTTAGATTAGCATTAGTTATGAAGATATAATATAAGAATTATCTAGTAAATTATATTATACTTAGATATTTTGTAGCATGTTTATATTATATCATTAGTTTTAAATTGAATAAAATGTGAGCACAAGATTCTCTAATTAAAGGAAAAAATAAAAAAATAAAAAAAATATGAAAGCTATATTAGCAACAGAGAAAAAGTGTATAAAGAGTATAGAGTTTGATAACTAAAAAAAAAGTTTTAGAAGTAATACCAAAAAACTGTATAAACAGAAAAATAGAAATAATCAACTTTTTACTAAGATAAATAGCTATAATTAGAGACTATTAAGAAACTAAGAGAAAGAAATAGTCTTTTATAAGCTTAAAAGTAGTTAAGAATAAGAACTCAAAATGATAAAAAAACAAAACTTTAATATAGATCTAGTAATTATGTTTAAAAAAAAGTATAAGAGATTATTTTAAAAGAAAAAAGAAAATAGAATTTTATATAAACAGATCTTTAGGTAAAAGAAAAGATAGAGAAAATATAAGAATAGGATGAGTAAGAATAGATTAAATAGAAAATAGTATAATTAGAATAAGAAATTTGAAAGTTGTTAACTAGCTGATATTAACCAAAACAGAGCTAATAAAAGTTTAGATAGTTTTATTATTGGTGTAATATAATATAATAGTTAGAGTTCTTACAAATAGTAAATAAGCAATAAAAAGTATAACTAAAGCTTATAAGACTAAACAATATAGCAAATAAATTAGAATAGATAACAAAATTATTTTAAAAAAAATTATATCAATTATTAAGCAAAAAGGTATTAAATTAGAGCTTAAGAAAATCAAAAGCTATACTGTTAACAAATAGAATAATAAAGCAAATTAATTAGTAAAAGAAGACAAAAAGTTAAATTTTTTGCTAAATTTAGATATAGTTAAAAATAAAAATTTTAGCTATGATATAACATAGAAATCAAATAGAATTGAAAACTTAGTTAAGTAGTTTGTAATAAAGCTAACAAAAAGATACAATAATGCAGAATAGGCATATTAAAGAAAAAATAATTTAGCTAAGAGTTTAAAATATAACTGAAAAAGGCTATAGCAGAGAATTAAAAAATAAAAAAGAATAAATTGTCTGTTAATAAAAGATAACAAAAGCTTTATTATACAAATCAAATACTTAATAAATAGCTTTCTAATACTTAGCAAACTCAAAAAACAAAAGCTATTTCTATATAAAAGTAAATACTATATCTTATGCAAGGAAGAGATCTTAAAAGATTTAGAATACTTTAATAAAAGATTTAGTGCTATAAGACTCTTAAAAAGAAATTAAAGAATTAATAATAGGAGATATCAGCAAGCTTCAATTTGAGAAAGTCAATAGTTCTGATCTGCTACTAAAAATCAGAATAATTATTTTTTCAAAAGACAAAGAAAACTAACTTTAAAGAAAAAAAGAGCTAATAATTAAACTTGAAAAAAAGAAAATAGCTAAAAACATTTAACTACTAGCTCAAAAAAAATATATTATAAGAATCTGAATAAATAATATTTTTTTTATTACTCAAAAAAGCTTTGTAGAAATTATATAGAACTAGTAATATAAAAAAATAATTCTTTAAAAAAAAAATAAAAGAATTACAACTAAGCTAAAAAGAAACAAGATAAGAGAAAAGAAGCCAAGAATGCAAATTCAAATAGATGAAGAAAAAAAGCATTGCTCATAGAAAGAAAAAAAAAAAAAAAAAAATAGATAATAGTATTAATAGAAGAAGTAGTTAAAAAAAAAATTAAAGAAGGAGAAATAAGTTAGTAAAGTTTTTTTGATATAGTTAAACAAATTGTTCTAACTATTTAGCTAGTATAATAGGTTATACCTTGAATACTCTAGTAGTAGCTAAGTAATGTTAAACTTAGAAAATTAAGTAGATTGTATAATATATATAATTTAGTTAAAAATACAGTTAACAACTTAATAAAGTTTATAATATGACTATAAAAAAAAAAATAAAAAAAATAAAAAATAAACAGAATATTTAAATACAAAATTAGATAATTAGATAAATAGCTTATTTAATAAAATTTAAATTTTTAAAATTGTCTAATTTTTTTTTTTTTTTTTTTGAAATAAGAAACCTTTGTTTGGAATTAAACAAACTAAATAATTAAGACAATAATATATTGTTAATTTTTGCTCTATATATATTAATATATCAAAAGCTATCTAACTTTGTTTAAATAAGTAACTCACAGATAAGTTACAAGTATAGTAGCATAATATAGAACTAATTAAGTAATCTAATATCTATATAACAAACTATTTAAAATAAACAATAACTAAAGTTGTATATGTAACTTCTTTATATAATTACAAACAGTAGAAATTATTAATATATAATCCTATATACAAAACTAATAAAATCTTTTTAACAATATAAACTGTCTTTATAATAAAAATAAAAAATAAAAAAAAACAAATTTTTAATGAGTATTACTAACTTGCCTTCTGGTGAATTAACTACTCTATATGATTCACTAATTATATCACAGGATCTTATATAACAAAATATATAAAATTTAAAAAAAGAATTTAACTTTAAATAACCAATTGTAATCATTACCAGTATATAATTAGCCAATAAAGATAAAATAATAAAAAGATTTCAGTTTATTAATTTTAGAATTAGAGTAAGATCTAGGATTTTAACAAAATATTATATATATATAAATTTTAGCAAAAAATTTTTTTTGTTAGAATATCAAAAGCAGTTTTATAGGCGAATTCTTGAGATATTAGCATTTTTTTAAAAATTTCTATGTTTTTGTTATACAATACATTACACCTGATCCTGCAAATTTATTAGCTAATTGATGATTACCACTAGTTATAGTTAAATATCTCAAAATTTTTATTATAAAAACTAGCTTTGAGCTTTTAAGTAAAAGTTTTCAGCATCTAATTTTGCATATAAATACATACTCTAACTCTAATATAAGCCTTCTCCTAACCCTAATCTCAAAAAATAGTTTACTTATATAAAAAAACTTTTATAATAATAAGGTGGTTAATTAACCAGTAGTTAAAATTAGTTATATTCTAATTATTTCAAAAAATATTATATAAAATTTGTAATCTTTTTTTTTTATTTAAAAGTTTTAGATTTAACTAATTTATTATATAATTTTCAACTTGATAATATGTTTATTTAGTTTAATACGTATAAATTTTTAAAAAGTAGCTATAATAATATAATAGAAAAATGTATTTCGAAATAAGTAACTTGTAAAATATATTTTATTTTAAATGTATATTTATTTGTAACTATTTAATTTATAATCCCGATACCAGATACTTTTATTTTATTTTCTGATTTTGAAATTTAAAAATACAATAAAATTTTTTAAACTTCCACTTATTTTTGAAATAAATTAATTTTGAAACACTCTAAATAAAAAGTTTTTACATACGTAAAATATAAAAGAGTGCATTTAAGCTTGGAACCAGAGTTAATAGTTTATTTAAAGAGAGAGTGCAATTATAAAGATCTGACTATAATTCGTAATATTTCTTTATCAAATCATAAAAATCTTTAATTCCATTTTCTTTTAGTTTAAAAAAAGCATATTAATTTTATAATTGACAGTTTTTTAAAAATTACAGATAAAAAAATATGCGATCTTGAATTCAATTTTGAAAAAGCTGTGTACCTTTAATAATAAATTTCAAGTAAATAATATATTGAAGTAAATAATATATTGAAGCTAAAATTATAAATTATTAAAAATACCTTTTTTCTATGAATCATGAAATGATATAAGCTGAAGTCAGATCTAGCCTAAAAACTCATAATTATATTTGCAAGTGATATAGGCTACTTTTTTTTTATATAGGATTGTTATGAGTTATATGTACAGTACAAACCGCATTTGCCCGGATATCTTCATATAGATGCCCGGGTGATAAATTTGCATCCAGTTCGGAACTCTGATCTTTTAGAAATCCATATCTACACCCACACCAGTATTTCCACCCATAGGAATATTATCTCTAGCTGAAGGTATACCTAATGGCGCTTGTTCTTCCATGGGTTTTTGTTCTCTGGGAATTACAAGTGCTCTTGCACGACCAAGTTCTTCCTATGATTTCAAAGAAAATGTCGTTCAAACATCATAAAATTTTCATTTATCTAATCTTGAACTAATAACTAACCACAAATTTTTGTTTAAGGTATCCAACTTCCGTGATCAGATCATTTAATGCCTTTGCTACCATCATGTCTGGTTTGGTATCATTAGTAGTTTGAACTTTCAAAATTACATTATGCTCTAAAGGATGTGGGACTCTGTAACCGGCAAATATGACTTGTGGTTCTTC